ATTTGAGTGTTCTGAGTGGTCGCTAAGGTCCACATGAATGAGTACATCAGGATATTCAACACAAACGTGTAGCAGACAGTAAATAAAGTACATTTTGATGCTATGTGATGACGTGTGTGTGATGGAGAATCTGGGCTCATTTTATAATCCGCTTCATGCAATGACAAATGTCACACACGCATAATAAAATCACAGTATTTTTGTGTATTTTATATTAGTTTTTGGTTTGTTTGTTGAGTGTTGGAGTGTCTCAGATTATGGTGCTCGCAACACTAAAGTCACGAGTTTGATTCCCTAGAGAAAATCGTGCTGTTAAGATGTATAGCACCTTTGTAAGCCGCTTTTAGATCTACTAAATTAATATGTTTTAATTAAACACCATAGTGATGAAAGAGTATTCCTGAGTGTGTTTGTGTGCTTTTGTTATTCTTTTAATATTCAATATTTAATTAATAATTCACATTTATTTACCTGTTCTTGTTCATGCTTCAGCGATACTGAACTGAAGAGCGTCTATAGTGGGCAGAACTATTTTCATGCTCTGGGTTTTGAAATATTCATCAGTGGAGCCCCCCAACTTCAACACTCACAGGCCTGTTATTATCCTCAAATTGTGAAATGTCAGTGTATGAGAGTAAATGCTGCTAATGAAGTGCTTTGGAGACAATTGTGGACGGCTGGACAACAGAGCTCTGTTGTGGGAATGTAGGTCACTGTGTGTGTTTGTGTTCTCATTGATGGTTGTTTTTTACCCTTGTTTGGACGCATACAGCATGTATATTATTTTGAAGAAAATGTGAGTAGTGCATGCAAAACTTGATATGGGTGGTTGCCAGGGTGTTGCTATGAGGTTGCTTGTTGCTAATGTGCCATGGGTGGATGCCAGGACATCGCTATGCAGTTGCTACTGTGTTGTGTGCGGTTGCCAGGGTGTTGCTATGCAGTTGCTAATGTGTTGTGGGTGGTTGCCAGGGTGTTGCTATGTGGTTGCTTGTTGCTAATGTGCTGTGGATGGATGCCAGGACATTGCTATGCAGTTGCTAATGTGCTGTGGGTGGTTTCCAGGGTGTTGCTATGCAGTTGCTAATGTGCTGTGGGTGGTTGCCAGGGTGTTGCTGTTTGGTTGCTTTTTTTCAATGTGTTGTGGGTAGTTGCCAGGGTGTTGCTGTGCGGTTGGTAATGCGTTGTGTGTGGATGCCTAGGTGTTGCTATGCGGTTGCTAATGTGTTGTGTGTGGTTGCCAGGGTGTTGCTATGTGGTTGCTTGTTTTTAATGTGTTGTGGGTGGTTACTAGAGTGTTGCTATGCAGTTGTTTGTTGCTCATGTGCTGTAAGTGGATGTCAGGGTGTTGCTATGCAGTTGCTAATGTGTTGTGTGTGGTTGCCAGGGTGTTGCTATGTGGTTGCTTGTTTTTAATGTGTTGTGGGTGGTTGCCAGGGTGTTGCTATGCAGTTGCTAATGTGTTGTGTGTGGTTGCCAGGGTGTTGCTATGTGGTTGCTTGTTTTTAATGTGTTGTGGGTGGTTGCCAGGGTGTTGCTATGCAGTTGCTAATGTGTTGTGTGTGGTTGCCAGGGTGTTGCTATGTGGTTGCTTGTTTTTAATGTGTTGTGGGTGGTTGCCAGGGTGTTGCTATGCAGTTGCTAATGTGTTGTGTGTGGTTGCCAGGGTGTTGCTATGTGGTTGCTTGTTTTTAATGTGTTGTGGGTGGTTGCCAGGGTGTTGCTATGCAGTTGCTAATGTGTTGTGTGTGGTTGCCAGGGTGTTGCTATGTGGTTGCTTGTTTTTAATGTGTTGTGGGTGGTTGCCAGGGTGTTGCTATGCAGTTGCTAATGTGTTGTGTGTGGTTGCCAGGGTGTTGCTATGTGGTTGCTTGTTTTTAATGTGTTGTGGGTGGTTGCCAGGGTGTTGCTATGCAGTTGCTAATGTGTTGTGTGTGGTTGCCAGGGTGTTGCTATGTGGTTGCTTGTTTTTAATGTGTTGTGGGTGGTTGCCAGGGTGTTGCTATGCAGTTGCTAATGTGTTGTGTGTGGTTGCCAGGGTGTTGCTATGTGGTTGCTTGTTTTTAATGTGTTGTGGGTGGTTGCCAGGGTGTTGCTATGCAGTTGCTAATGTGTTGTGTGTGGTTGCCAGGGTGTTGCTATGTGGTTGCTTGTTTTTAATGTGTTGTGGGTGGTTGCCAGGGTGTTGCTATGCAGTTGCTAATGTGTTGTGTGTGGTTGCCAGGGTGTTGCTATGTGGTTGCTTGTTTTTAATGTGTTGTGGGTGGTTGCCAGGGTGTTGCTATGCAGTTGCTAATGTGTTGTGTGTGGTTGCCAGGGTGTTGCTATGTGGTTGCTTGTTTTTAATGTGTTGTGGGTGGTTGCCAGGGTGTTGCTATGCAGTTGCTAATGTGTTGTGTGTGGTTGCCAGGGTGTTGCTATGTGGTTGCTTGTTTTTAATGTGTTGTGGGTGGTTGCCAGGGTGTTGCTATGCAGTTGCTAATATGTTGTGGGTAGTTGCCGGGGTGTTGCTATGTGGTTGGTAATACGTTGTGTGTGGATGCCTAGGTGTTGCTATGATGTTGCTAATGTGTTGTGTGTGGTTTTCAGGGTGTTCTTAAGTGTTGCTAGTGCTTTGTGGGTGGTTGCCAGGGTGTTGCTATGCAGTTGATGTGTTTTGGGTGTTCCTAGGCTAGGGTGTTCTGGGTGGCTGCTAAAGTCCACATGAATGAGTACATCAGGATATTAAACAAAAAACATCTAGTAGAAATGAAATAAAGTTAATTTTGATGCCGTATGATGATGATGATGATGATGTGTATGATGGAGACTCTGGGCTGGTTTGGGCATTTGGAACGCTGCACAGACCAACCACAAACTCCTTCTGCACAGACATTAGAGCAACAACAATTCATTATATCTCACAAAGACTGAGAGAAGAGGAAAGATGATGTGGCAGATGTTTAAATGAGTAGTTTGCCCAAAAACTTCTTAAAATTCATTAAATCGAACCAAAAAAGGTTCATACTTAACTGATCAGGCATTGCGTTTTCATAGCTCACATTAATGGAGACCTCAGTTATGTTTCGTTCACATTTTTTCATGTTTTTCCTGAAATTTCATTGGAGAAAAGAGTGAATAGTTGTCATACAGTATCAATATAGAGCTATAAAATGAATTCATAAATTGATAGGGTTAGACTTTGGTATCTTAGCAAACTTGAGCACGGTTTAATACATTGTTGAGATCTCATTTGAAAGTTTAAAGGAGACACGTATGATTACAGGGTCTTTTTCTCAGGAGAAACACCTCTGTCAGGAGACTTCAGCAAAGTCTCAATCTCGCTCTTGTCTATGAGCAATAGTTGAGATATTAAAGATGTTATTTCAAATATTGTTGGTTCTGTGACAAATTGCTTTTGTTCCTCAATTGCAAGTCACTTCGGATAGAAGTGTTTGCTAAATGCACACATTTAATGTAATTCCTCATGTTGTTCTAAGCCTTTGTGACATTATTTATTTATTTATTTATTTTTTGTAACACCGCAGGAGATGTTTAGCTAGTTTTTATTCTTTGTGTTTGTTGTGAATATTTCTGCTTGTGTCGTATCATTGATTTCTCATCATATGAGCACAGAGCATCTCTCATGTCTCTTTATGGGAAGCTCTCTGTTATTTTTGGCATGTGGTTGTCAGTTTAACAGGGCACAAGCGCAGTTGCCCGACCGCAGCTCTTCAGAGTGCTCTCTGAGCCGTATGTGCTGCAGATGGGTCAGTCTCTAGTGCTGCCGCTGGCCGGTCCGAGGGTCCGAGGTCATTCATCAGGGCTCTTAAGTGCTGCCAGACCACAGCAGAGAGGAATAATGTGCCATAACCAGATGTCATCAGAACATCAGGATGATTTATGCTACTTTTTACCTGGATAATCTCCTAGATAGACGGTAAAGATGGCTGCATTGCACTTTGGATATTAATTAATTTCTCCTGAAGCATGCATCTAATTATGACACCCTACTTGTAAACTGCTTTTGAAGGAGAAATGTGCATTTTTCCCCTTTTTTGACTGAAGGAGGGACCTGAGTTATATTGTAGAGACTCAGTAATGGACTCGTAATTTGCTGGGCCAGTACGCAACCACCTGGCACACTTTAGCAACCACTTAACAATACCCTTGGAGCCACTTTGAACATCCTAGCTACACCCTATCACATTATATCAACCACATAGCAACACCCTGGCATCCAAATAGCAACACCCTAGCAACCACCTTAGCAACTACACAGAAACAGGCCAGCAACCACCTAGCAACATCCCAGCAACTTCATAGCAACACCTTGGTAATCAGTCACATTTTCAGAAAATTTGCAAATGTGGTTATTTCTGTAATTCTGATGCGGTAAAGGTGCAGAATTACACAGAGCTGATTTAACGCTGGTTTGAGCCAAATGTAAATCTAATAGTCGACTACAAAATTGACTACTAAAGTTGAAGGACAGTCTGCTCTGAAAGAGTTCAATCTATGTTTAAAGATCCAAACATCAGCCTCCACACACTCGAGCGCAGAATGAAAACTGACAGTCATTATATCAGGAAAGGAGAGCCGGAGTGTGTGTGTGTGTGTGTGTGTGTGTGTGTGTGTGTGTGTGCTTGCATGCACGTCCCTCAATGTTTCCCTCGAAAATGTTGTAGAAATGCAGGAACAAAAGCTGTTGGAAATTTTACAGTGTATTAATAATGCAAAGCTGAATAAGTCTGGATAACCTTAGTCTTGTGTTTGCTGGTGCTCAGTATCACATTGATGGATTTGTTTTTTAATTAAACAGCCACTCAAACAGAATTAATTTTGCACTTAGAAAATGTGCATCATTTATTATTTGAATAGATGCAAAAATGTACAGTTCATAAAGAAAAAAAGCCTTTTTCATGATAATTTAACACAAATGCTCATGTTCTCGACTGTCCGTGTGTTAAACTGGCTCATGTTGAAGTGTGACTCAGTGTCATCTCGCCCTCGTTTCGCAGCGAGCTCATCCTGTCCAACATCGATGCCGGCGTTTCCGGTAATTGGCAGTGTCACGTGACCAGTTCCCGTGGCAACAGCTCAATCGGAATGGAGATTGTGGTGCTGGAGACGACGGTGCTGTACTGTGGAGCCGAGAGGGTCAGTAGCAACAAGGGCGACTTCAGGTGTGTCTGCAGCTACAGATGCCCATCAGCAACATCACACATAGACACAGACGCCATTCACCAGAGCGCCAGCTTAAAGGGACAGTTCACCCATTTTCTCACCCTCATGTTGTTCTAAACCTGTATGAGTTTCTTTCTTCTGTTGAACACAAAAGAAGATATTTTGAAGAATTTTGGGAACCCAACAGTTGATGGTAGCCATTGACTTCCATAGTATTTTTTTTCCATTCAAGGGAAGTCAATGGCTGCTGTCAACACAGAAGATATTTTGAAGAATGTTGGCAACCAAATAGTTCACTGTATCCATTGACTCTGATTGTATGGGGGAAAAAATTTCTTTGGATGTCAATGGCTACCGTCAACACAAAAGAAGATATTTTGAAGAATGTTGGCAACCAAATAGTTGACGGTAGCCATTGACTTCCATAGGATTTTTTTCATTCAAAGGAAGTCAATAGCCACTGTCAACACAAAAGAAGATACTTTGAAAAATGTTGGCAACCAAATAGTTGACGGTAGCCATTGACTTCCATGGTATTTTTCCGTTCAAGGGTAGTCAATAGCTACTGTCAACACAAAAGAAGACATTTTGAAGAATGCTGGCAACCAAATAGTTGACGGTAGCCATTGACTCTGATAGTATGGGGGAAAAATTTACTTTGGTCAGTTGACAGTAGCCATTGACTTCCATAGTATTTTTTTTTTCCATTCAAGGGAAGTCAGTGGCTACCGTCAACACAAAAGAAGACATTTTGAAGAATGTTGGCAACCAAATAGTTGACGGTAGCCATTGACTTCCATAGGATTTTTTTCATTCAAGGGAAGTCAATAGCTACCGTCAACACAAAAGAAGATACTTTGAGAAATGTTGGCAACCAAACAGCTGACGGTAGACATTGACTTCCATAGTATTTTTTTTTCCATTCAAGGGAAGTCAATGGCTACCGTCAACACAAAAGAAGACATTTTGAAAATGTTGGCAACCAAATAGTTGACGGTAGCCATTGACTTCCATAGGATTTTTTTTTTTCATTCAAAGGAAGTCAATGGCTACCGTCAACACAAAAGAAGATACTTTGAAAAATGTTGGCAACCAAATAGTTGACGGTAGCCATTGACTTCCATGGTATTTTTCCATTCAAGGTAAGTCAATGGCTACCGTCAACACAAAAGAAGATATTTTGAAGAATGTTGGCAACCAAATAGTTGACGGTAGCCATTGACTCTGATAGTATGGGAAAATTTTTTACTTTGGTCAGTTGACAGTAGCCATTGACTTCCATAGTATTTTTTTTTTCCATTCAAGGGAAGTCAATGGCTACCGTCGACACAAAATAAGATATTTTGAAAAATGTTAGCAACCAAACAGTTGACGGTAGCCATTGACTTCCTTAGTATGGGAAAAAATACTATTGAAGTCAATCGCTACCATTGACTGTTTGGTTGCCAACATTCTTCAAAATATCCTCTTTTGTGTTCAACAGAAGAAAGAAACTCATACAGGTTTGGAACAAGTGGAGGGTGAGTAAACGCTGAGATAATTTCCATTTTTGAGTGAACTGTCTCTTTAAAAACCACATCACAGATTGTGTAATTGTGATGCTTCAGTGCGTCTGTTGTATTTTAACTTCAGATCTCTGATTGCTGCTTTTATAGCTCCATGTTCATTCTGTGTTTATGCAGCACATGACTGTAATGGGCTGGAAAATTAGCCTGTTGTTAGCAGAGGAATTAGTGTCATCTGTGCATTACTGACAACAACAAACAGACTCTGTTCATGTTCACAAACCTCATGTGAGAAACTCGCCTAAAGACACTGCCATTTAAAAGCTTGGGGTCAGAAATTATAATTTTTTTTTTTTCATCAAGGATGCATTAAATTGATCAAAAGTGCCAGTGAAGACAATTATAATGTTACAAAAGGTTTCTATTTCAAATAAATGCTGTTCTTTTGAACTTTCTATTCATCTGTGAATACTGAAAAATGAAATGTGTCACAGTTTCCACAAAAATATTGTGCAGCACAACTGTTTTCAACATTGATAATAATCAGAAATGTTTCTTGAGCAGCAAATCAGCATATTAGAATGATTTCTGAAGATCATGTGACACTGAAGACTGGAGTAATGATGCTGAAAATACAGCTGCGCATCACAGAAATAAATTAAATTTTAACATATATTCACATAGAAAACAGCTGTTTTAAACTGTAATATTATTTCACAATTGTTACTGTACAGCCGTGGCCAAAGGTCACGACTGTATGTTTGACCTAATAAATGCGGCCTTGGTGAGCAGAAGAGACTTCATAAACATAAAAAACAAAATAATTATTCAACATTTTCGACAGGTTGCGTAAGTCCAAAAAAAAGTGTGTATATATATATATATATAATTTATTTATTATTTATCCTCAATTTTCAATTGATATCATCAATGACAGGAATAAATAACACTTTAATTTCTTATTATTTTAAATAGAAATTATTATTATATTAGAAAACAGTTATTTTAAATTTGTAATATTTCACAATATTACTGTTTTTACTGTATTTTAATCAAATAAATGCAGTTTTGGTGAGAAGAAGTACCCCAAACCTTTGAATGGTAGTGTAAAACATCTGAATGTTATTGTGTCATATTGCAAAATATCACAGTCACTGTCATTTATAGTAAACAAAGATGCTCAGACATGATTTCCAAACACAACATTTGGTAGAGAAGCTGGGGTTTAAATGCTAAACTATAAATCCTATAATATATATATATATATATATATATGGAATGACATGAAGAAACAGAACAAACTGAGACAGACTCAATCCAGAAGAATTGGTTACGTCGCAATGTTGGAAATATTTCTGTTTTAAACCATGAAGGCGAGCCAATGGATATCACACACAAGCACCGTGCAACTTTTGCGCAAGAGTTATGCCGGTGAACGTCTTAATCTCAGTCAATTCACTATGCAGAAAGTGAAAGTAAAGTGACGCAGTGACGGAGTAATGGCAGAGCTTTCTGCATCTGACGCCGCTTATTCTCTCAGAGACGACGAGACGAATCGTCGGTGAAAGTCGTTGCTTGAAATAAAGCTTTTTATTTCATTGATTTTTATTGATGACTGCAGTGTTAATATTTTAATGAAAGCATGTCTGCACCTTTTTAGTGAAGCCATTCTCTGTGATGTTAACGGGGGGTTGATCAGGCTCCTGGAAAATAACGAAATCATGCCTGGAGAGAAAAGAATTAATACACCATCAGAAATAACAAACGTCAGATTAGTTAATAATAAAAACAATACACTTTAACCCTGTGAAGCCAAAAGGAAGTTTATTGAAACTTTAGACAAAACATTAAAAAATAATTTTGCATCATATTTGATCCATCAGGCTTTTATGGCTCATATATTCTGATATAATGAGAATATGGAGGAAAAACAGCTCAGTTGTATTCAGAGGCCCAAATTGAGCAATATCAGTCGTCAATCAATATCTCCAATAATCTGTCTCAGTAAAATGAGATTGAAATGATCCAAACATATAATGCAGTGATTGAGAGCTGAAGAAATAAAGACATGAGGAGATTGTGTGAGAAACACATTTAACAGCAAAGTTTGATCATGTTCATCATTTACAGGAAATTTGTGTATCAAATATGATACAGTTTATAGGGTTAAAACATATTAATCCACATTTTGTAAATTCTTAAATCACTCTTTGTTTATAATCTAGTGTAAAACAAAAAAGTTATAAATACAGGTTCAAGAAACCTCACTGCAAAGCTCCTGAGAAACTCTGCTCAAGTGCACCGAGGACAAAAGCTGCTTTAAACACAAAGGAAGCTCGCACCAAATGCTGATTTAATTTAGTTAACAGAAGTTAATTCATAAAGAAAATCTATTTATGACATTATTTTTGACAGCATCCTCATTTTACAGCATTTTTACACAAGTGCCTAAAAGTTTTAACAGATTTCTTGAAGCGTCTTGGAGACACAGTTCTTCTGGATTGAGTCTGTCTCAGTTTGTTAATAACTTCAATTAATTTTAATTGAATAATAAAAGTAACTTAATAATAATATGCCTAATAAAAATAGGAATGTAACAGGCCTACATTAATTATAAAATAATTAGTATAATTATAATTATAAATTAATACTTATAATATTTTTTTTCTGCGATATATATTGCGATATGGAAAAAAAATCAGATGACTTCAATAGCTCTATTTGGAAAAAAATAATAATCAATGATTTTGTAGGCGAGTAAATCAGCATAGGAAATAAACAAATTACAAGCATAGATAAATAACAGAAATAAG